CGCCTGGCAGGCGGCCGGGCTGGGGCAGCACCTGTCGCCGTCCCCTCCTGGAAAGCAGCCGGGGAATGTTGTTAATTTCCAGGGGCAGCAGGAGGTGTGGTCACTGGTGGTTGGTGCTGCACGCCTTGCACCGGAGCAGCTGCCTGCGATGCTGTTTGTCCCCGGAAACAGCGGAGGGCCTGTAAGGCCGGCAGGTACCAGGGACTGTGTGGGGATATGGGAAGATGAAGCTGCAGAGTGTCCAAACGCAGGGGTGAAACCTCTCAGCCCCTGGACCCCTGTCAGAACAAGAATTAGGAAGGGTGTTGCTCAGTCAGACCCCCCGGGTGGGCAGGGGCATGGCAGTTCTCTGAGAGATGCCCGACTTCCACATCCTCTGGGTCTCAGGAATCAGAAATGCCAATCAGTAGCTTTCTGACAACCCCCACATCTCCAGATAACCCAAATTTCTCTTTTTTGTAGTAAGCAAATCAAGAAAAAGAAATTTCAAGTTATCCTTCAAGCAAAAGTAGAACTGGACACTCCTCATCTCATGCACAGGTTTGTCTTGTGTTCCCTTTTCTCTAACAACCTTTAACTTCATTATTTCTGCTCTGTAGCACTAATTGTTTTCAGAAAATAAACTAACAACCTCCCCTACAGTTTGGTAGTTAGGGAATTTGTTCCCTCTCCTTATGCTCATTAATTAGATCTAAGACAATATAATGAAATTTTACTTTTATTTCACTTAAGAAACAGTAAATGTTGTTTTATTTTGTACCATCTCTTTTAGGAGTTAGGTATCTTCATCAAGTACCATAAGCATTGAATTCGACATTCACTGCGCAGTTTAGTATTTGAAACAAGAACTCACGATGGGAACAATCTAGGAGTTTGAACAACTCCTCCTTTTAATGAATACAATGTTGCAGGTAAATAAATACATAATATTGACCCCAACACATTCCTTGTTCCTCTTCCAGCACAGCTAGTGAATATTTGTTGTTAAAATCTCTGCAAGAGGCTGTTAGTTTTCTCTGACAGAAGCAGACACCTCTACTGAAATAGATGTAGGATTATTATGACTGTATTTCTTTACATGATTAAATAAATTTAAAAAATAATGCTACAGTTACTTCTGAAATACCTTATCCAAGAACAGCTTGCTTTGTAGTTCTAACTATTGAGGAAAGCGCACAAAGAGAGCATAGCTAAATTATCAGCTGTTCAGTCAGTAAAGCAAACATCATTGTCTGTTGCTCTCTGCAACATCAGGGGATGACTACAGCAAAGTGGCTGAAGGTAGATCTCCCTCATCCATCCTCGCATTAATCTTCTTTTCACATAAAAGGGCATTTCAGAAAGCCTGGCCTATTAATCCTTCCTTAAAACGCTAAATAAATCCTGTGTGGAGAAAAAAAAAAGGAAGTTGAAACAGTGTCAATCTAGAGGAAAGTTCTTTTAATCAAAGCTATGCTCTGGGTACAGGGACAGAGCATTGTGGAGAGAGAAATAAATAAAGCTTTTCTCTACAGACGTTTTGGGCATGGGGATTTGCTTGATATCACGTTAAATTCTCAACATTGGGGCACATTATCAATATATTTACATACCACCAGTTTTCCCCTAACATTTTAAGAACATTATTATTTGACACTGAGCCATTTACATGTTTATTTACCAAATAATTTTTTACCATTTTTTTCTGTTTACCAAAATACCTTCTTTGACTTCAGAGTGTTTCAGGAAAATACATGTGTTATATGCTCCGTGTTTCAGTCTCATCTCTCTCACCCCCAGAAGCAGCTCTTTAAAAGTACAATTCCATCTATAACTTGACAGCTTTTTAACCAAAGCAGCAGCGAACACTGACTACATTTAATATTCACAGCAGAGCAATCTCACAGATTCCTGAGACAGGTTTCTACCGGTTTATATGGAGGGCTCTGAAATATCTAGAGGCTAGCAGCTGTTCACAGACAGTGAGGATATCAGAAAGTACGGGCTCAGGATTACTCATAGATCCATTCATGAGCACAGCTTCTGTAATCAACCAGTTCTTCAGGAGTGAACCACAAATTGATCTCTGTCTCAGCGCTTTCTATGGAATCACTTCCATGAATGATGTTCCTAGGAAAAGAAAAGGTGGATATAAAAGTAAGGTAACCCTCAAACTCAAAGCAAAGCAAGCCTCGTTTTTTGAAGTGGCCTCCATTATGGAGAGAAGTTGTAAGTAATTGTAAAGCAACTCCTATTACAGGCACGGAGTATGCAGTCCCAGCTTTGCTCATCATTTTTGTCAATGGGGAAGACCACAACTTGACTTCCAGCTTTAGACTGGAACATTACATGCACACAGGGAACGGCAGCTCCGTGCATAAGATAGAGGAGGATGGAGCACGGTTCCTACATATATCACGACAGATATCATGACATATATCATGAAATACCACTGGACATTTACTGTCTTTAGATTATATCAATAATTTCAAAATATACCTTCCAACTTGAACGCAGAGGTCACCACGAATAGTGCCAGGCTTTGAATCGACTGGATTAGTTTCCCCCAGCATCACTCTCCCAGTCTTAACCACATTAAGACCTTCCCACACCTTAAAAAAATAAAAATCCATTGAGATTATTAAATCCTAGCAGTAGATAGAGAACAAGAGTTAATCATACCTTCCAGAATTACACAGTACTGCGCATCATGGCACTAATCACCATCTGAATATTCCTAGTAGCAAGACATATTTTATCTCCAATTTTTTCTGTCATATTCTTGAAGAATCTGCAGAAATTCTCCCCTTCTGCACAATGCCTCTCCTCACCAAGGATGGGAAGAGAACAATTTTAAATCTCAGTATGGTAAACAGCCTTACAAAGCTGTCTGCTCATTGAAGATCTGGACCTCCAGCTCAACTATTTTACAAATACACTATGAAGGGAAAAAAAAGAGAAAATCCCTTCTAATGAAGTTAGACTGAAAAAGATTTCCAAACTTGTGATAGCTTAGGAGTATAGTAAAAATATTGCACCATCATTTTTCAGCTTCCTTAACACATGACATTTCATAGTGGGATTTTTGTGCGGGTTTAGTATTTCTCAAGGTCCCAGCTTTGGTTCCCCCTTTACCCCTGCCCTCTTCCTCAACATACTGACTCAAAGGAGAGAAAGATTATGAATAAAAAAAGATTAAAGAAAAAGGAGTTAACAGTACATCTTCCTAAGTACAGTATTTGAAACTAGGTTTTAAAATAGTTTTAAAATCCTTTTAAAAGTAAACTCGAATTGAATAGGTAACACAATCATGTTGCAGGTAAGACAATGAAACAGTATTTTTCTTAGCTGAACTTCATTTTTAAGAGCTCACCATAGCTACAACAGGTCCGGAGTGCATATACTGCACCAGGCCATCGTAGAATGGACGGTCTTTTAGGTCAATGTAGTGTTCCCTCAGAAGATCTTCGGACGCCTGCATTAAAAACCAACCAACAAAAGCTTACTGTAAGAAGTTAAGAGCATACTGAAATCACAAAGATTAACCACAGAGTCCTATTAATCCTAAAACTTGCACGCACTGGAAAATTCAACAACTCTAGCATCTTCCTAGAAGTACTTTTGGTTGATATGAATTTGAGCTGTTGGCTTTAACCACTGCTGAACTTAGAAAAGCATCTTCTACCAATAAAGACAGCTTGTGTGACCTGGTATTTGTTGAAGATACTCATTAGCTGTAGGATGCACCTACAAGAATCTTCTCTTCAGACTAAGGACATCAAGTTACTAAAATTAGCATGCTTAGCGTGTCTGGCATTTAGAGCTGGGAATTGGAACTTTTCCAAAATATCCAAAATATTCAAAGACTTCTTAAAATTTCCAGTTTAATTGTTCTGAAGACTACATGTATTTATTCTAGCATGCTGCTCTATTTTAAGGCTGCAGTTTATATGAAAGAGGAGATATACAAAGTGAGGAAAGCTTACGTGTATTAATTTCATGGCCACCAGTTTGAATCCTTTCTGTTCAAACCGCTTGATGATTTCTCCCACCAGTCCGCGCTGGACCCCGTCAGGCTTGATGGCGATGAACGTGCGCTCGGCGATAGAAGCCATCGTCCTAAGCAGGAAGGGAATAAAAGTCATTATTCCAGAACCAGCAGGCAAGTGTCATCACAGCCCTGTATCACGTGTAATATCAGCTGTTATTATAATTAAATCAGCTACATCCGAAGGTCATTAACCCATGATCTGCACCGATTTGATACATCAATCAGTGTACACGGGTTTTCAAAAGTAAGTTTAGAATAATAATGATGTGCCATATATAGAAACAAGCAATTAGCAAATATTAAAATCAGAAAAGCTCTGAAGGGAACAGATGCTGTCACAGGTGCATCCCTCAGTGCAGCGCCTGTGCGGCAAAGCAGGCTGAATAAACCCATTTGCACCATTTCCATGTGTAAACCAGTATTATCGGGGGTTTTTGAACACTGTTTTGCTGCAATGTGTGTCTGCACACATGGATATCGTGCACACACCGGGAGAAGCCCGCCCGGGGAGGAAGCACCCGGTGCCGTTCCGGTGCGGCAGCCAGGCGCTGACACGGGTCGGGAGCC